AAAGTAAAACATGGTTAAATAAAAATAGGATAATTCTGGAATTTCATGTAAACAAATTGTTAAACACTTAATTATATTTTAGGTCATGTTAAATAATGAATTATGTCTACCAATCATAATATACATGCCTATTATTCTTGTTTAAATATAGTGTTAGAGAGCTGGACAAGTTAAATACTATGGCAATTCTCGCAACATTTAGCCCTGGTTATCAAAATGTCATTTTCGAAACAGATGCACAGGTGGTGTTAAAGGTGTTGAACCATTTTTTTAGTTAAGCAAATAGGTTTTGTATTAGCCAGTTGATTTATGAAAAATAAATTTAAAAATGAGAAGAAGTCTTTGGGTTAAGAGGCAAAGCCTCTTGTTTTCGCTTAATGAATGCATGAAAATATCCCACAACTCTTAGAGAAAATATTTTCATGTTGTATATAAGGGAGCAAACATGTGTAGTGTTCAAAACATCAAAAACATACATGCACCATGGAAGAACCTAAGAAAACCCCACACGCACGCCGAGCCAAGCCAGGCCGGGCGAGCGTGCGTGGGTGTGGGCCTTGGGCTCTTGGGAATGCCTCGCCGAGCCCACTTTCTTTTTTTTGGACCATTTTCGTTAGACATAAAACACTGTTTTGATCAGTTTTATTACTAATAAAAGATCTTCTCCTAATTTCTCCTGATTTTCTGTCAATCCCTCCCAACTTCTCCACGATTCCGCAGTTGGGTAACTAGTCCGCGATTATCTCAACGTGGGATTGTGATTATAGAATTACGGATTTTCGAACCTCTCCCTCTCGTTATAAAAACCAAGCAGTTCTCTCTCATTTTTGGATCACCTCTGATATCAATCTCAGAAAGAAAAAACAAAAAGAAATCTCCTTTTAGTTACAGTAAGTCTCTTATTCGAGAGTATTATAAAAATAGTTCGATAGAATCGTAGTTCGAGTGTTGCGAATACGAATGTCAGTGGTTGTATCCTGGGATCCTCGAATCTATAAAAACCCTTCACACTGAGAGAGAGTCAAATGGTTAAGGAAAAATATTCGTCTCGCCTCCGCTTCCTATCTCATCCCTTAACAGTTCTATTATCGCAGTTTTCTCTTATAAGGTTGCAGTGGTCCAATTTTGGTCCTACAATCTTAACCCTTTGAAATCCGGCTGTTGTTATATAAACATCAGACGGATTGAATTGTGATAATAGAAATGTTTCTTACAGAAAAGCTTGTATCGCGATCGTTTCACAAACGTTCTCGCTGATTGCTTTCTGTTTTGGAGGAATTCGATCTGTTTCAACGTTTGCGAACGCTTATTCATTGAAAATTGTCTGCTTCGATTACTGTTTCTGAATTGCGATTCTTAAACTGCCTATCGAGAGAAGTCTTTAAGATTTTATTTTTTGTTTCAAATTAAATCGGTTCTAATACAAAGTTTTTGTGTTTTTCAGAAAAAATGGCAAACGAAACCGCTAATGTGTCCAACGTTGTTTCTGATGTTACCAACGTTGCTGTTGTTGGCTCTAATGTTGTTGCGGGTAACGAGAACACCATCAATGGGGCTGGAGTTCAAGAAACTCAAGTGCAGTTTGGTGATCTTCCACCTGTCACTATCGCATTCCTTCTACTACGCAAACCGCAGCCACCAATCCGTTCCCAACAATGCATATTCTATCTGGGAATTCTGCTGGTCTTTTTCTTGACAAGTTTGACGGAAGCTCCTTCAAAATGTGGCAGAAAATATGTCTTTTTACCTGACTACGCTGAATTTGGAGAAGTATACCCGTGAAGAGAAACCTTTTCCCCCATCGGATAATACTGATCCCCGGGCACTTGCGAGTGTCGACGCTTGGATACATGTTGATTTTCTGTGTAAAGGGTACATCCAAAGTCATTTGATCGACCCGCTGTACAATGTCTTCTATAAATGCGAAAACATCTAAAGAACTTTGGGACTCTCTTGACAAGAAGTATCGGTCAGAGGATGCTGGATCACAGAAACATGTGGTGGA